CTGGGGGGGGATTTGAGGGAATTTGGGGGGTCCTGGGGGGTTTGGGGGGTCCCAGGGGGATTTCAGGGGGATTTGAGGGGATTTGGGGTGTTCTGGGGGGATTTGGGGGGTCGCAGGGAGGTTTGGAGGAGATTTCTGGGGGATTTGGGGTGATTTGGGGAATTTGGGGGGTTCTGGGAGGATTTGGGGGATTTGGGAAGTTGGGGACACTTGTTAGAGATGTCACACCTGTCCCACCTATCCCACCTGTGCCACACCTGTCACATCATACCTGTCTCACCTGCCTCTCACCTGTGTCACACACCTGTGTCACACACCTGTCACACACCTGTCACACCTATCCCAGGCCAGCCCGGGTTGCCTGTCGGCCATGTTGCAGTGCCATGGCTGTGTCACAGACCTGTCACACACCTGTGTGTGTCTCACCTGTCCCAGACCAGTCCCGGTTACCTGTCGGCCATGTCGCAGTGCCATGGCTGTGTCACAGACCTGTAACACACCTGTCACACCTGTAACACACATGTCACACACAGACCAGCCCGGGTTACCTGTCGGCCATGTCGCGGTGCCATGGCTGTGTGTGTGTGTCACACCTGTAACACACCTGTGTCTCACCTGTCCCAGAACAATCCCGGTTACCTGTCGGCCATGTCGCGGTGCCATGGCTGTGTCACACACCTGTCACACACCTGTCACACACAGACCAGTCCCGGTTACCTGTCGGCCATGTCGCGGTGCCACCGGCGCGCGGGGCAGCGGCTCCTGCAGGGGGCGCTGTCCAACGGGGGGCTCTACGTGAAGCTGGGCCAGGGGCTGAGCGCCATGGACCACCTGCTGCCCCCCGAGGTGACGGGGACCCTGCGGCCGCTCGAGGACAGCGCCAGCCCCCGGGGCCACCAGGAGGTGATGGGGACACTGGGGACACTGAGGGGATTGGGGACACTGGGGACACTGGGGACACCGGGGGGCTGAGCGCCATGGACCACCTGCTGCCCCCCGAGGTGACAGGGACCCTGAGACCCCTGGAGGACAGCGCCAGCCCCCGGGGGCACCAGGAGGTGACACGGGATTGGGGACACCGGGGACATTGGGGACGTGGGGCAGACATCTGGGACAGACAGGGACACACAGGGGTGACACGGGGACAATGTGGCACCTGAGGGACCTTGGGCTTGGGGACACAACACTGGGGACACTGAGGGGATTGGGGACATTGGGGGGATTGGGGACACCGGGGACACTGGGGACGTGGGGCAGACATCTGGGACAGACAGGGACACACAGGGGTGACACGGGGACAATGTGGCACCTGAGGGACCTTGGGCTTGGGGACACAGCGGGGCAGAGGGGCGTCCTCAATGTCCCCAGTGTCCCTCAGCTGTCCCCAGAGTCCCTCAGCTGTCATCTGTCTCACCTGTCCCTCACCTGTCCCTCACCTGTCCCTCACCTGTCTCTCACCTGTCTCTCACCTCTCCCTCACCTGTCTCGCATCGGTCGCACCTTGGGCTTGGGGACACAGCGGGGCAGAGGGGCGTCCTCAATGTCCCCAGTGTCCCTCAGCTGTCCCCAGTGTCCCCAGTGTCCCTCACATCTCCTCAGTGTCCCTGACCTGTCCCTCACCTGTCCCCAGTGTCCGTCACCTGTCCCCAATGTCCCCACTGTCCCCGGTGTCCCTCAGCTGTCATCTGTCTCACCTGCCTTACCTGTCCTTCACCTGTCCCTGATCTGTCCCCAATGTCCCCAGTGTCCCTTACCTGTACCCTCACTCACCTGTCCCCAGTGTCCCTCAGCTGTCCCACCTCTCACTTGTCCCCACTGTCCCCAGTGTCCCCAATGTCCCCAGTGTCCCCAGTGTCCCTCACATCTCCTCAGTGTCCCTGACCTGTTCCTCACCTGTCCCTCACCTGCCTCTCACCTGTCCCCAGTGTCCCCCAGTGTCCCTCAGCTGTCCCCAGTGTCCCCAATGTTCCTCTGCTATCTCTCACCTGTTCCTCACCTGTCCCATTTCTCCTCAATTGTCCCTCACCTGTCCCCAGTGTCCCCCACCTGTCCCCTCAATCCTCGGTCCCCAATGTCCCCAGTGTCCCCAATGTCCCCAATGTCCCTCACCTGTCTCTCACCTGTCCCTCACCTGTCCCACCTCCCACCTGTCCCTCACCTGTCCCCAGTGTCCCTCACCTGTCCCCAGTGTCCCTCACCTGTCCCTCAATTGTCCACAATGTCCCTCACCTGTCCCCAGGTATCTCTCACCTGTACCCAATGTCCCCAGTGTCTCTCACCTGTCCCTGACCTGTCCCTCACCTGTTCCTGACTTGTCCCCAGTGTCCCCCCACTCTCCCCCCCCCGTCCCCCACCTGCCCCACCTCTCCCCTGTCCCTCACCTGTCCCCAGTGTCCCTCACCTGTCCCACCTCTCACCTGTCCCTCACCTGTCCCCAGTATCCCCCACCTGTCCCCTCAATCCTCTGTCCCCAATGTCCCCAATGTCCCTCACCTGTCTCTCATCTGTCCCTCACCTGTCCCCAGTGTCCCTCACCTGTCCCTCACCTGTCCCTCTTCTGTCACCTGTCCCTCACCTGTCCCCAGTCACCCTCACCTCACCTGTCCCTTCACTCACCTGTCCCTCACCTGTCCCACCTCCCACCTGTCGCTCACTTGTCCCCAATGTCCCTCACCTGTCACCTGTCCCCAGTGTCCCTCACCTGTCCCCAATGTCCCTCACCTGTCCCCAATGTCCCCAGTGTCCCTCATCTGTCCCCAGTGTTCTCAGTGTCCCTGACCTGTCTCTCACCTGTCTCTTGTCCCTCACCTGTCCCTCAATTGCCCACAATGTCCCTCACCTGTCCCCAGGTATCTCTCACCTGTCCCCAATGTCCCCAGTGTCTCTCACCTGTCCCTGACCTGTCCCCTCACTCACCTGTTCTCAGTGTCCCTGACCTGTCTCTCACCTGTCTCTTGTCCCTCACCTGTCCCTCAATTGCCCACAATGTCCCTCACCTGTCCCCAGGTATCTCTCACCTGTCCCCAATGTCCCCAGTGTCTCTCACCTGTCCCTGACCTGTCTCTCACCTGTCTCTTGTCCCTCACCTGTCCCTCAATTGCCCACAATGTCCCTCACCTGTCCCCAGGTATCTCTCACCTGTCCCCAATGTCCCCAGTGTCTCTCACCTGTCCCTGACCTGTCCCCTCACTCACCTGTTCTCAGTGTCCCTGACCTGTCTCTCACCTGTCTCTTGTCCCTCACCTGTCCCTCAATTGCCCACAATGTCCCTCACCTGTCCCCAGGTATCTCTCACCTGTCCCCAATGTCCCCAGTGTCTCTCACCTGTCCCTGACCTGTCCCCTCACTCACCTGTTCTCAGTGTCCCTGACCTGTCTCTCACCTGTCTCTTGTCCCTCACCTGTCCCTCAATTGCCCACAATGTCCCTCACCTGTCCCCAGGTATCTCTCACCTCATGTGTCCCTCACCTGTCACCTGTCCCTCACGTGTCCCCCACGTGTCCCTCACGTGCCGCGTGTCCGTGCCGTGTCGGTGCCCGCCAGGTGGACGAGCTGTTCCTGGAGGATTTCCAGACCACGCCTTCCGGAATGTTCCGCGACTTCGACTACGAGCCCGTGGCCGCCGCCAGCCTGGCCCAGGTGCACCGGGCGACGCTGCCCGACGGCACCCCCGTGGCTGTCAAGGTGGGACACACCTGGGACACACCTGGGGACACCTGGGCACACCTGAGATACACCTGGGCACACCTGGGATACACCTGGGCACACCTGAGATACACCTGGCACACCTGGGCACGGCCCTGTCCCACTGCCCTGTGCAGCCCATGCACCCCGACTTTGTGCTGGGGCACTGTCACTGTCACTCACCTGTGCCACCTGTGTCCCACCTGTGCCACTGTCACACACCTGTGTCACAGCCCGTGTCACACCTGTGTCCCACCTGTGCCACTGTCACACACCTGTGTCACAGCCCGTGTCACACCTGTGTCACTCACCTGTGTCCCACCTGTGCCACACCTGCAGGAGCTGAAGGGCACGCTGGCAGTGTCACACACCTGTCACACCTGTCACACCTGTGTCACACCTGTGTCACTCACTTGTCACTCACCTGTCCCACCTGCAGGAGCTGAAGGGCACGCTGGCGCTGTCACTGTCACTCACCTGTCACACCTGTATCTCACCTGTATCTCACCTGTCACTCAACTCGCCTGTGTCTCACCTGTCCCCAGGAGCTGAAGGGCACGCTGGCGCTGGAGCTGTCCCTCACCTGTCACACCTGTCACGCCTGTGTCACTCACCTGTCACTCGCCTGTGTCTCACCTGTCCCCAGGAGCTGAAGGGCACGCTGGCGCTGGAGCTGTCACTCACCTGTCACACCTGTCACTCACCTGTGTTACCTGTCACTCACCTGTATTACCTGTCACTCACCTGTGTTACCTGTCCCCAGGAGCTGAAGGGCACGCTGGCGCTGGAGCTGTCACTCACCTGTCACACCTGTCACTCACCTGTGTTACCTGTCACTCACCTGTATTACCTGTCACTCACCTGTGTTACCTGTCCCCAGGAGCTGAAGGGCACGCTGGCGCTGGAGCTGGACTTCGAGAACGAGGCGCGGAACTCGGAGCGCTGCGGGAGGGACCTGGGACACCTGGGGGGGGTGACAGTGCCACGCGTGCACTGGGGACACTGCAGCAAGGTGAGACACCTGGGACACACCTGGGGACACCTGGGCACACCTGGGACACACCTGGGACACACCTGGCACACCTGGGGACAGCTGGGACAGCTGGGGGGGGTGACAGTGCCACGCGTGCACTGGGGACACTGCAGCAAGGTGAGACACCTGGGACACACCTGGCACACCTGGGACACACCTGGGACACACCTGGGGACAGCTGGGACTGTGTCCCCATTGTCCCTGTGTGTCCCCTGGGTGTCCCCATTGTCCCTGGGTGTCCCCATTGTCCCTGTGTGTCCCGTGTCCCTCTGTGTCATGTTCCTGTGTGTCCCCTGTGTCCCCCATGTCCTCATTGTCCCTGTGTCCCCTGTGTCCCCCTGTGTCCCCTGTATGTCCCCTGTGTCCCCTGTGTATCCCTTGTGTGTCTCCTGTCTCCCTGTGTGTCCCCTGGGTGTCGCCATTGTCCCCTCTGTCCCCATTGTCCCTGTGTCCTCCCTGTGTCCCCACACTGTCCCCTGTGTGTCCTCCCCGTGTGTCCCCTCACTGTCCCCATGTCCCCTCTGTCCTCTCTGTCCCCATGTCCCTGTGTCCCTGTGTCCCCCTGCAAATCCCCCCCAGAACACAGAGAAGCTGATCATGGGGGTTTAGGGGATGTTTGGGGTTTTTGGGGTCCCTGAACCCCGTTTTTGCCCTCAGACTGCAGAGAAGCTGATCCAGGGGTTTAGAGTATTTTTGGGGTGATTTTGGGTTTTTTGGGGTCCCTGAACCCCGTTTTTGCCCCCCAGACCGCAGAGAAGCTGATCCAGGGGATCTTTGGGGTGATTTTGGGGTGATTTTGGGGTGATTTTGGGGTGATTTTGGGGTGATTTTGGGGTGATTTTGGGGTGATTTTGGGGTGATTTTGGGGTTTTTTGGGGTTTTTGGGGTGCCTGAACCCCCAAATCCCCCCCAGAAGACAGAGAAGCTGATCATGGGGGTTTAGGGGATGTTTGGGGTGATTTTGGGGTTTTTGGGGTGCCTGAACCCCGTTTTCACCCCCAGACCGCAGAGAAGCTGATCCAGGTTTTCGCCGAGCAGATTTTCTACACCGGCTTCATCCACGCGGATCCGCACCC